ACTCAACTACTGTCACTTCACCCATTCACATGGTGAACATCAGCAAATTCCAAACGGATTATTATGTGTCCAGACCAATCAGTCCGAGCTGCTACCATTGTCTATAGCATAATGCTGGCGATTCTCCATACATTTTTCCGTAAGCAATGGTTAAATGGAAATTCGATTGGCTGATTAAGTTACTTTTCGTGAGCATAGTATAGCCGAAATATAACTTGCCCATCTAAATTCAACTGTTCACATGCTGATCGTCAGCAAAGGCCAAACGAATCATCATGTGTCCAGATCACCTGGATCGAGCTTACACTACTTTTCCTACGTCATTTATTTTCAATTGGGAGAAAATCCAAATAGGACGATTTAGCAATTTCGCTGACATTTTATTTGAATTTCTTTCCATTGTAGGCAAAAATAAAAAACCGTTTGATGTAAAGTTCAAATTTCTAATTGTTGTACGCATAACATTGAAATTTAATAAAAATAACTGCATAACATAAAAAATGCGTGCATAATAATTTTCTTAAATTTATTTATGTAGATAAACAAAAATAAAAAGTTATTTTTGCTAAGTGCAAAAAAAATAATCAAAACACTATTTGAAGTTTACAGGGTCATCCATAAAAAATGGATTTTTAGTAATGAAAATAATTAAATTAAAAATATATAATTTACAGGGTCATCAAATAATAAAAAATGGATTTTTACTAAGTAAATTAAAAAAATTAAAAATATGTAATTTACAGGGTCATAAATAAAAAAATGGATTTTTACTAAGTAAATTTAAATAATTTACTTTTTTTATCATAAATAAAAAAAAATATGTTTTCAATATTTACTACCAGGTCAATTAGTGTGATCCAATTTGATTTTAATTTAAATAATTTTTAAATTGGTCGATAGTTATTAAATTTCTATATAGGTCTACTAATTTACTTTGAATTAATCTTAATCGAGAGTGAGAGTGAGAGTGAGAGTGAGAGAAGCGCACATACAATCTCGGAAGCTATCTTCAACATTCAATAACTTTTTCAGTTGTTTAACTGCTTTTGTTATTACATAAATATTTTTTTTTCTTTATGTTAAATACTTACTTAGTTGGCCATAACAGACGTGAGTCGTCCTTGGCTGCGTCAATAGCCTCCGCAAGTCAGCACAATTAGTTGCTTGGTGTTGCCAGTTGCTAGTACAGAGCGGCCTCTAAATCGTTGGTCACTTGGTCCTTCTACCGAAGATGCGGACGTCTTCTACCGCGTTTTCCACCTGCGGGTACCGAATTAAACACCTTTCTAGCCGGAGCACTTTCTTCCATTCGCACGACATGAGCAAACCAGCGAAGCCGCTGAATTTTTATGCGCTTAACTATGTAAATGTCGCGGTATATCTCATACAGCTCATCGTTCCATCTAATTCAATACTCGTCGCCAACTCGTAAGGGACTATAGATCTTTCGAAAATTTTTTCTCTCAAATGCTCTTAACAATTTCTCATTACTGTTGGTAAATGTCCAATCTTCTGCACCATACAGCAGGACAGGCATGATAGAAGACTTGAAGAGCGTGATTTCTGTTTGTTGTTTTTGTTTGAGAGAGGGCTTTATTTCTCAAATGCCTACTTAGCCCGAAGTAACGAAGTGATTCTTTATAGAATCTCTAGAATGACTTCGTTACGCTGGTTCCAAAATAAACAAAGCCTTCGAACTTATAATTGTCAACAGTGACATAGGTCCCAAAATGCTCAAAATGTTTGTTTGTTAATGGAAAATACTTTATTTTGTCCTTATTTACCACAAGATCCAATTGCTTCGCTTATTATTCTAAGTTGGAAAATGTCGTACTGACGGCGCGGGTGTTCAGGACAATGATTTCAGTATCACGGCATATGCAAGCAGCATTAGACTTTTGTAAAATATTGTGCCAGTACGGTTTAAATCTGTTGTTCGGATCACCGTTTTTAGCATAAAGTCAAAGTAGTCACACGACAAGGAGTCACCCTGTATGAAACATCGTTTGGTATCAAACAGCTCAAAGAGTTTCTTCCCGATTCCAACGGAGCTGGTGGTGTAAATTTTACTAGGATACCAAATTCAGACATGGTGGCATAGAAAGTTATACTTCTAAGCCATGGTTTGACTCAGAACTACGCGCCTCAAAAAAAATCTAAATTATGCCCTAAAAAAGTGCAAACGACAACGCTTTTCATCTGAAACTAAAACGTATACCGTTTGATTTAAATTGATTTAAAAACTAATTACAAAAAAATGCTGTCTAAAAAAAGAACGGAATATGAAATCAAGGTCAAAAATAAGTTATTTAACGTAAAAAGCTCGAAAGGCTTTTGGAATCTTCATAAATTGTACAATCGAAAACCTTTTGTCAACAACCCCATACTCAATGATGTTTGGCAAAGCTTCTACGAGCAAATTTATCCACCTCGTCCTACCATTGAACATATACTGTCTGAAAACTATATCAAAGCGGTGTATTTGGAAATACCAATAATTTAAATAAAAACAGCAATAAATAAAATCAAAATCAATAAGGCTCCAGGCGAAGATGCAATTACGACTCTGTCGTAAGTATTTATCTAGTGTAAAGAATCTTTTTATCAGCTGAGGTTTCGCTCGCCGGATTCCAGAGTTGTTACAAGAATATTTCTTTGTAACCCTGAATCTTCTCGTAAAACAAAAAGGTGGACACTTGATAATTTTTATTTTGTACTTTTGTATTTATTATATATTTTCTTTATTTACAATAATTTATAATAATCTACTAACAAAAAAATAGTTACTAATTTCTAATATTTTTATACTTCCTGTATTATGAAAAGAAACAGATTAATGGTGGACTAGGAACCAACGCTACCGACAAGGCTGCGTTGCTAAGAATCAGTGTTACTGACTAGGCTACACTGGTAGACTAGGAACCAATGCTACTGACAAAGCTGCGTTGCTAAGAATCAGTGTTACCGACTGGGCTACACTGGTGGACTAGGAACGAACGCTATCGACAAGGCTGCATTGCTAAAAGTCAGTGTTACCGACTAGGCTACATTGGTGGACTAGGAACCAACGCTACCGACAAGGCTGCGTTGCTAAGAATCAGTGTTACGCAATCAGTGTCAGCAATGTTAATAAATTTCTTAGTTACCTGGTTGAATATTACCTTCGGTTCTGCGAAGTGTTCTTCTCCGTGGCCTGTGATCAAGTATCTTTGCACTTGCTTCGATGCGCACTGCTCTAAGTGCTGCGACCAAGTCCCCTTTTACTTGCTTTTACTCCTCATTTTATATAAATCTTGCGAAACTGGACTTCTAACTTCCGAGTGCACATTGTGTCGATTTCTTCTAAGTTGTTATTGCCTACTCTAAATGCCTACGGCTGGTTTTGTTATGTTTGCTGCACATTTATTAAAAATTCGGCAAAATGAATGACACTCAAAAAAAGTGAGAAGTGTTACTACTTAGTTTATATTTCATGGAGGATTATTGTTCTTCTAATTTTATGAAACTAATAATAACATAATGTTATTAATAATTTATGTTAACTTAATAATAATAATTTTTAAATAGTTCATAATAACTTATTAATACCTTAATTTTATTAATAGCTTATACTAACATTTTTATATAAGTTCAAAAAAAGTGAAAGTAGTATATATTAACTAATAATAAATAACTAATAATGTTTTTCTTTTTTTTTATTATTAACTAAAAATAGCTTAATTCTATTATATGTTACTATTATTCTTCTTTTTTTGTTTTTGTTTTACTTACAGCAGAAACTGCCATAAGAAAAGGGAAAATGGCGCTCGGTACGGCAGTACAAACTATTAGTAAATTTAAATCAGACTCTTGTGAAGGTTGGGCTAATCTATTCGACTGCACTGTATCTGTAACACTTTTATATGTATTAGAAGTGTGGGTTCTACGTTACTGTGATTCACTAGAAATCGTTCAGTCAACGTATTACAAACGTTTGTTAGCACTCCCCCAAGCTACAAACAATGCAGCACTTAGACTTGAACTAGGCCTTCTAAAAATTTCATATAGTGTTTTCAAACGCGCAATCGATTTCATTATACGAATTCTTCAAATGGATCAATCAAGATACCCCAAACAATGTCTCCTTCGTCTCATTTACCTACACGTAAATAATTCTTCTACAAGTGAATTAAATTGGGTTACACAATTTAATGAGTTTCTTAAAGTTGAAAATATGACAAACTTAAAGGAAACACTGACTGCAGCAACTTGGATTGATAATCGAACGCTATTAAAGATATCTAAAATTCAAAAACATTTTAAAAGCCATCAACTCACATTCCATGAATTGCAATATATTAAGAGCTCTTGATACAAACCTGCCTGTTACCTGTTGCATGCCTGTTTGATCGTAAGCAATTTTTTATGGCAAAGGGTATCGCCCAATTGCGGTTGTTACAACTCTAAGTTGAGAATGTTGGCTTCGCAGATAGTATGTAGATCCAAGTCACTGGAAGCATGCCTTCCGTTAATCAACGTGAGATTTCAATTTGAAATCTTGTGTATTGATCAAGTGACAGCCATGTTGCCTTATGTATGTTGAGATGTTAAATAGTTATTAATATTATTAGAAGTCAAATAGTAAAATATTGTATATATAATGTTTTGTATTTCTCTTTACATAAGAGAGGTAACTCCATTTTAATTGGTTAAAGAAACGAAAAAGATAAGATACAGGGAGCGGAATTTAATAAACTAGAAAAAAGTTTACTATTTAAGTTATTCAGATGAACCAATTCTGAGATATTAAGGGTTTTTTGACTACATGTGTTTTTGGGGAATAATTTATTATAACACCGTACTCGATAAATATTGAAAATGGATAATTCCATTCATACAACTTTTTTCGTTTCTTGACCCAAGGAATCATCTCTATAAATTTAAGTATTTTAGTATATAACACCGACCATATTATGTGAAATAATTTATATTTATTTTGAATATATTTAAAATCATTACAGAGTATCATTTGGTTCATCTAAAGGTTCTATGGTAGAAACTTTAGTTTTTGAAACACCAACACCGTTATCTGAACATAGCGAGATGCAGTTTGGTTTTGGTGATAGTTTTAAATGTAAGACGTCCTTTTCTTGTGGCGTTAATCCCGAAATAAAAATGACCAACAGTGGAATAGACACTCCAGAAGAGTAAGTTTTTGTCTTAAATATATTTTTAGTTAATTATTGTTTATATGCTATATGGCTAAATTAAACCAAATTGATCAAGTTATTTTTTAGCACTTTGCAGAATTATCTGTATGTGCCTTCAAAACTTTCATACTTTGAATTCACTATTTTTAAATACATTGTACCCGTAATCAATGCTTTATTCGACACGTCATTGCACAAAGTAAGTCTGTGATAAAGGGCAGTTTGCAGCTTTGACTTCGATCATATAACTTTTTATTCTATTTAAATCATGCAGTTACAATTTGTACATTTATGACTTAAAGCGCATGTGTAATACATGAAATGCGAAGTTTGTGCCAAATTTTATGTGTAATAACAACATTTGAAGTTTGACAAAAAGTTTTGAGTTACTTAAAAAGTTACAGTTTTTCATCGCTTACATCATTTTTAACATTATTATTAACATTATTTATTGTACCTTTTAATTGGTTTTTATGTCTACGTACTAAACCTGTCTATGTCTCAACAACAAAAAAAAATTTTTTATACATTGAACAATAATGCCTGTAGTTAGGGGGTCAATTCCTTAACTGTGAAAAAAATTTTATGTACACGCAAGCGAAAAACTCATTTCTTACCGCAGTTGACACTTTCTTATAAAATGCTATTCCTCAAGTGCTATTGAGTTTTTCGTGCTGTATGTAAAATAATGACGTGCTGAATGCATTTTTGACAGTTATAAGTTAAGAAATTTGTATTTGCATTGAATAAATTGAGTTATTGAAAATAGATAAGTAGACGAAATTGCACACATTAAACTAATTATAATAAAATTTTATAATAATCATATTAAAAAATTTTATTTTATATATTTATAATTTTTTTACATTTCTTATAGTTTCAAAATTTAACTATCGTTAGAAAATTCTATATTGATCTTTGAGTACAAACTTTTGCTCCTTTCGCTTGCTTTTTTACATTTTTCCATTTTTAAAAACTATAAAAAAAATAACACAAAACTATATTTCATTTCACCAAAAATTTACCCGTTTTTTAAAAATTCACAGCTAAATTTACAGTGAATAAAATTTGACAAAAGTGTACACTTTTTGACAGACAAATTCACTATTCACAATTAAGAAATAGCAAAATCAAAATGAAAGCAAAATTTTTGTGTAGACTTCAGTTTGCACAGTTGAGGAATGGACCATAAATAAAATCATAACCCATAAAATCTAGCACACATTTTTTGATTTACTTGAAATTTCCCAAAAAACTCTCCTAAGCATTGGAAGATTTCTGCCAAGAATTGTACATGGGGACAGAATCATGCTTTTTGGCAAACGGCACAATTCTTTACGAATTTTTCAATATATGAATCTATTTTTGACTACCAACAATCTAATATTAATTAAGTCTAATATGACCTAAAATAGTTTTTAATGTACCTAATGCATTTCCAAATACATTGAGATACTTTTGTTTAAAGCTGTCTGCCGTGGAATTTCTTGAAACATCATTTATTTTTTCAACTTAATGTATTTAAAAATTAAATTGATTCAATAAATCTTGACGAAATAACTTGTTTCCTTCTTTAACGTGTAATGATCAATTTTTTTTGGTCTTTGTCAAAACAAAATTGATCTTACAGTTTTTTCATATATATATTTTTTTTATATTCATCTTTATTCTGATAAATAAATAAAAAAAAATATATATTAAACACTGGCAACAAACATATGTATAAAAGAAATCAAACAAACAAAAAAAATAACAATGAGAGAAATAACATGTTGACTGGTGTTTACATTTTCGTTTTCGCCAAAGCTGAGAGTACAGCTTAAAATCCCAAGGTGAGAAAAAAAAAAGAGGGGAAAGTTGAGTTCGATGGCCAGAGGAGAAAAAAAAGGGAGTCGAAAAAAAAAACACTTTGGTTGCGTTAGAAAAAAAGATAAAGTGAACAAAAACGGCGGATTCTGAGGACAAATAGAAAGTGAACTACAAACGGCGGATTAATAATAAAAATATAAAGTGAACTAAAAACGGCGGATTCTTAGTGAACTACAAAAGTAATAAACGCAAACATTTAAATAAAGGAATAAAATCAAGTGTATAGTTGGTGACTCCAAGCCCTGTATTGTGTTAATTTTTTTACACTGAGGAAGGGGTATTTTGAGCTGCATTTGGTAGATTCATTTCATCGATAAGAAACTGATGGGCTTACAAAGGAAGCCAACCACATTTTAAAACGGTCAATTATTTTCGGGTGTTGCTGGCGATCAGCGGCAGATGTATGTAGCAGCAGCAAAGAATTCCACAGCATGTGTTTATATTATTCATATATATTATATATAATTTTTTTTGTTTATATAAGTAATTGAATTTTGTATGTATAAATACCTATATAAAGTATATTACAAGCATTGTATTATTTATGTTATTACTTAGTATTGTATTAGGTTTTTTTTTGAAATATATCTAGTGTGTAATAATGAAGCATATACTATATAAACTGTATTATTTATTTTATTAGTTTTCTTTTTGAGAATCTCCTGAATTGTTTATTCTTAGTTTAAATAGATATATTTTATTTTTGTACTGAACCCTGGTATACGCTGAGTATACCTCGGCCGTGGAAAGGGCCGGAAAGGTCGTTACAAACGTTTGTTCCCAAAAATGTGACACGTTTTTTCATTTTCCCACATTCAATATCGGCACCAATCACACCAACAATATCAATTTTTTATTTCCATAGCCATACGCAATCTTTTTGCTACTAAATAATTTTCGTGACTTCAGTTTTTCACACGTTGGCAACGTAGTCGCGCCACTATCCATTTGTAAATTAATATGTGGTTATTTACCAGCAGTTCAATAAATGTTTTATGTTTTTTGTGTTTTTACAAAAGTATTTATGGTAAATTCATGATCATTTTTAAATTCACTTAAATTTTTTGTTTCTGTTTGACTAATATTTGCATATTCTTTAAAACAACTCATTTCACCATATAAGTTTTTGTAAACCTGCTGTACGAATATTTTCATGTGGATTATTTAAAATAATTTGGTTTCTTTCTATTTCATCTATGTACTTGGAAGAACAATTTGAAGCCTTACAAACAAATTCGCTACTCTTTGTAGCTCTGGTTTTGTTTTAGTATGCATTTATAAAACTCAAATCTTGATGCAATCACATGCATTTTTACCTTGAAATGGCCCGTTAACTTTTCTGTTAACACTAAAAGCTTTATTATCAAAACTGGTGCAAAAAAAGCTTTTTTTAACATGAAGTTTTGAGGCTTTTATCTCAGCATCAATGCCATATGACACAAAATGTTGTTTTAACTGTTCCAAATACACATTCCACCGTTGCTTGTCTTTGTCGAATGGGTGATAAGGAGCCACGGACGCCGTTGAGTTTCCAGCCTGATTACGCGCTAATTCTTTCATCCACATCTGCTGCTAGCTTATCATTTCTTTTTCTTGACGGAGAAGCACGGCAATTATTTGTTCACTCATTTTGATTTATTTTGAATTTTTATTTACTATTGCATGTTATGCCAAAAAATTTTGTATTATATTTATATAATATGTTAATTGTTTTTTAATTTTAATATTTTAATTTTCTTCTCGTCGCCTATGTTATAATTCAGGATTTTTAGTAGTTTGAGAGTTCAATGGAAATTAAAAAATCTTTATTAACATAATTCATTTTACATATTCATAATTTAACATATACAAAGATATTCTAAATGCTATATATACAAAACAAGACAGGGAAGTGTAAATATATAACAGAAACCAAAAAATTTGGAGTTTTCCTCAAACTTGCTCGTATTTTTTCGTATACAATTGGATTTTTGTTGACTTATATCCAAACTTTCATTAATTTTCACGGATGAAAGCGAAAACATCGTTTAAATACATGCATGATTTTATTTTGCAGTACATCTGTGGATTTCTGCTTCCACTATATGTTAGCTTCACTTGCTGCGTGCTTGTCAGTTGCCGGCTCGAATGTCAAAGAGAGCGATGCTTGCTTCTTTTCTTACCCTTTTTGCACGTGATTCTAAAACGTTGCCATTGTACTTTTCCTGTTCTGTGGTTGCCGTATTCGTCACAGTACTCCTCCATAGAAGGTTGCCGACTGTGATGAATGCTGTTTGAGAGTGTAATCTTTTTGTTTATGGCGTGTCTGAGTGCAATGGACTATTGCTCAATTGAAGTGAGTCTTCTTTGGCGGTCGTGACATTTTTCTTCGTCCTTTGTACTGGTGGTTATCATGGTGGTATATTATACTCATATAAATAGACGTCAAATTTGTATGAAAAATCAATTAACGCCAGCACACTTAAATAAGTAAGCCCCTATAATTCGCCAAATCATGACATTTTGATGTCATCGGACACACTTTTATAATTATTTAGCTTTTTTTTATAATGTATAACGCCCACGACATTTTGATGTCGTTGGCTAGAACCTTGTAACTTTTCTATAATATATAACGCCACCGACATTTAGATGTCATCGGTTAAAACATTTTAACTAATTTAGATTTTCTATAATATATAACGTCAATTACATTTTGATGTCATCGGCTAGAACCATGTAACTAATCAGAATTTTCTTTAGCATAGCAATTAGGTTATAATTAGAGTAAGAAAAAATCCAAACTTTTGTTTTTTTACTTCTTGATCACATATTAGCTTTTCAAACAGGCCAATAAAGAAATTTATTGCAATGATCCAGACCACGACTGAGTGATACCTCAGCAAAATCAAACGACGCTTCCGTGTCGTTACACACTCACTTTCCAGAGAGTGTAGCCTAAGTTGTTCAAGAATTAACACAGGTTAGCTCAACAGAGTGAATACGTCATCCTTCCTGGCTTTTTAACATATACAATTGTTGTCTTTAATTGCTGTACGTTGACACATGCTGGAAAATTACTGGAGTAGTATTCATTCCCAAAAGCAGGGACAAAAACAGCCACAAGGACTATATACCGATTAGTTTAT